GGATGTCAACCTGCCACAGATTAAAATTAGACCCTTATCTTTTGCCATGCACTAAATTAAAATCCAAATGGATTAAAGATCTAAATATTAAAACAGAAACATTAAACTTGCTGGAAGGTAAATTAGGCAGAACTCTGGAAGACATTGGTATAGGAAAAGACTTTGTGAACAAATCCTTAGTAGCACGGGAACTAGCAGATAGAGTCAACAACTGGGATCTCATCTTACTAAAAAGCTTCTGTACTTCAAAAGAAACCATCAGCAGAACTAAGAGACAATCTACAATGTGGGAAAAAATTTTTACCAGCTGTTCCTCAGACAAAGGACTATTATCAAGGATATATAAAGAACTCAAAACAATCAGTCCCCCCAAATATAAAGACCCGATCCAAAAATGGGCATCCGAAATGAACAGACATTTCTCATACAAAGAAGTGAAAGCAGCAAGAAAATATATGAAAAAATGTTCCACATCACTGGTCATTCGAGAGATGCAGATGAAAACAACACTGAGATTCCACCTCACCCCACAAAGAATGGCTGCTATCAAGAAATCACACAATAACAAATGTTGGCGGGGTTGTGGGGAGAAAGGAACCCTCCTCCATTGTTGGTGGGAGTGCAGACTAGTGCAACCACTATGGAAATCAATATGGAGATACCTCAAAGAGCTTGGACTGGAGGTTCCATTTGACCCAGCCATCCCTCTGTTGGGTATCTTTCCAAGAGAACTAAAAGAATCATATCACAGAGAAGTATGTGCACCCATGTTTATAGCGGCACAGTTTGTAATAGCTAAATCTTGGAAACAACCTATTTGCCCATCCGTTGGAAACTGGATAAAGAAGTTGTGGTTTTTCTATAAAATGGAATATTACTCAGCCATAAAGAACGAGAAAATAGATTCATTCATAGGAAAATGGATACATATTGAAGATATACTCCTAAGTGAAATAAATAAGTCATACATGTGTAAATAACGAATAGTTTCCCTGGTGTGAATAATCTGCAACAATGCATAAGATTCTAATAAGATTACTGACATTTAGAAATGGGAAGAAAGGAGCTAAAGGTGTAGGGAAGGTGGGATGGGTAAGGGAAGAGTAAAAAGGGAAAAGAAGAAAATGTGAGAGAATGAAAAGATGAAAATAAAGTGTTTGTAGATGGGGAGGGGAGGAGGGTGTGAAGGGAGGGCAGAGGTAAGGGGAAAAAATGAGAATCAAGACTTGTCATGTGGAGGTACAAAAAAAAAAAAAGAAAATAACTGTCTTAGTTCCTAATGAAGCATTGAGAATAATAAATGCAATGATTGAAGGTGAATAAATGTTTCGCCAGGCTTTTGAGTGTCCTTGATTCAATCAGTTTGATACCCAGAATCAACCATCACAGAAGGCAACTGAAGGAACTCTGGTTAATGAATGAAACAAGAGACACTGGAGTTAAAAAATATCATCTACAAAGTGGTTGTAGTAATCTGACAAAAAATACTGGGGTTACCTTTAAACAGTCATAATAACGATAGAAGAAAAAGGAGCAGATTTCTAAGACATTTCAGATAGAAAAAGCCACATTTTCCATGCAACAAAATTAGAGTGAGGAACAAAGAATGACTTGAGCCTCTGCGGTTGACACAATAAAGTAATGGTTTCTATTCACATGACATGTTATAGTTTATAAACCCTTCCATATATACTAAGTTCCATTGTGATAAATTAATAGGTATGAAATAGCAAATAGAGTTTATACAGTAATTTACTGACCAATTTTTGATAATTTATTTGAAGATATTATATATGCATACCATTGAGTGTTTTTTTCCTTTATACAGTAGTAGCTGACTTGTGTCTTCAAAGATACATATATATATATATATATGTACTGTAGTTAGTTCTTCCTGTGTTACGAGGCAAGTAGACTTTTGCCATAGCTTATTCATCAGTCATATGTGTAATGGGCTGTCACTGTGCTTCTGAAAACTGCATCAGATAGTACATCTCAAGATTTAATGTGCATAAGAATCTTTGAGGATCTTGATACAATGAAGATTCTGATTCAGTGGGTCTTGAGTGGTACCTGAAATTTTGTATTTCTAACAGGAGATGTCAATACTGCTTGTTCATAGGATACATTTTGTTTGGAAAGAATGTAGTAATAAAGTCACATGCAATACACACACACACACGTGCGCGCACACACACACACATACACACACACACACACACACACACACTCACAGCCCCCAAAGCATCCCTTCAGATGTGCCATTCTGAGACAGTAGTAGTGTATCTCATTTCAATTTTTAAGTCCCAACAATTTTCTCATAGATTTCATTGTGCTGCCAATTATATATGTATTTCTTTTCAAGATTACAACAGCATTCTACTTCTGTCTTTGTTGGCAATCAGTCCTCTAAAGGTTTCAAAACAAGTCAGTGGTCTTTTTCAAGAAGAGCTTTCATAAAGAACCACCTCTTTGTCAGTTGTTCATTAATAGTTTTCTTGCTGACAACTTGGATGAATGCCTCTTAATTTTGCAAGTATTTTTAAATTAAAATTATTGCCAAAGCACTTCGCCTACTTTTTCTGGTAATGATGTCTGCTTGGAAGGAGAAATCCTAACTCTCCTCCCACAGGTCTTTTCTCTTACAAATCCATAACCCTGTGGGTTTCCTTAATAGTCTGAAATTCCATAATATAATCCATGTGTGTTGAAAGACATCTGAAATCACTGACATGCCTCAGGGTCTCAGGATTAAGCAATTTTTAGATCTGCCTTTATGTAATTAAGCTCAAAGAGGTGGTCTCCTATTTAGGTCCATCTTTTAAAATTCCTTTCTCTTCCTTCATTCTTTCTTAGAGGAAATCCATTTATGGTTTGGACATGTTTCACAAGGATCGTATTTTCATCCCTATGGAAATTCCCCAACTAAAACTCCAAGAGGTAGACAATATGTCTTTGTGTACATGACAAAGAGGCTAATCTTGAACGCAGTGGTTTTTATGAGGATCTAAGAAAGAACTTAGCAACCCTTTAGAGAGAAAAGCTCGTGCCTGCTGTTCAGTCATTGTAAGCCATTCCGTTCTCTGTATGCTGGGTAGCTGAGATATGCAAAATGTAAACACTCACTTAGGTTGATTCTAATTTATTGAAAAGTCCAGTGATCATAGAACAGACAGTATCCCATCAGTCTTCTTATATAATCAAAAAATCTTTAATATTGTGTCCTTGAGATTCATTCAGCTACCATGAGTAGTTTTGGAAGGGCTGAGACCCTAGTTGGACAGCTCCAGTTAAAAAGCTGCAGCTGTGAGCAACCATGTACATTCTCTTCAGTTGCTCTAATATTTCATATTATTTCTGCTAATCTTCTTCTTGCCTTGTCAACTTCACTGTGTTAACTAATTCCTTGTTTAAAACTTTCAGTATTGCAACCTAAGCTTTGCTAAAATGATTTCACTTTAGTTGGAAACTTTATGCTTGTCCAAATATGGCAAAACCTGAGCTCTGAAATCTATTATTGCTATCCAAGTGTATGCCTCATCAATGTATTTTGAATATCAGAGTCATTTTTTGGTTTCAAACACCTTACTGCCCTCTGAAGGAATTTGTTAATGTCTGACCCACTATAGAACATACACCTTTCTATCCATTTTTAAATGCACCTATGAGGAATTAAAAACTATGCTTCAGGCAACACATAGTGTTGTGAACTGAAACTAAATACTAGCAAACTTGGTTCCCAGTCCAGAGTGCTACGTAATCATCATTCTTGAGTATAAATTCACAAAGTACTTCAGTTGAAATATGCAGAAGACAATCCCATTTTAAACAGAACAAGTCAGTCTATGCTAAGTTTCTACACTGAGCACATAGTGTATCTTCGAGAGTATCTATTTCCCCTGACTATAAATGGTCCACATTTTGTTAATGTTGTGACACCTAACAGATTTGAGGGTTCCTGCCGTTAGCTTATACTAGTGTTTACATGCTCAGTTCTTGCTTTGTGTAACATGGGTTCTGTTCCAACAGCATTCTCCTAACAAGGCACTTCTGACAGCTGGTGGCTCCTACTGCTGCTGTGCAATTTTTCATAGTCTCTGTGCTGAGCTCTCAAATACTCTGCCAGGAAAGCTTAGCTATTTTCTGCTTTAAAATTTCAACTATATTTTTCTAAACCTGAAACAGATGTTATCTTGGCTGCTATCACTCACTGTGAACTTCTCTATTCACATTTACAAAGGGCAGGTAAAAAGCAAGTGAGTCGCTGCCCTCACTCTGGTAGAGAAATTTAAAAAAAAGAAAGGGAAGATGAAATGAGAGAGAGAGAGAGAATATATATATATAACATACGCATTTTATATACATGTTTTATATATATACATATATGTATAAGGAATAAAGCCACACAGAGACAGACAGTACAACCATTTGAACTGCTATTACCCTAATATATGCTATAGTCTGGCTACTACTGATTTGCCTGGCATTCCTCTTGACTCATACTTGTGGCCATCCAGATTAACTCTGTGAGCTGATCTCTTGATTTAATATCAACTTGCTCTATTCTGCCCCCATGACATTTACTGTCATTAAAACATGTACTGCTTATTACTCATCCATCTGTGTTTTCAAGAGCCCACGGTCATTTCCCCCCCTTCTTTCTTCTTTTTTTATGGGAACTAGACTAGAAAACCTTAGATGAGAAAAATTAACCACTCAGAGACAAGGTGGAAGCCTGGGGGGTAGGGTGTGAATGATTTGTCTTTTATAGTTTGTACATTGTTAGCTGTGGGTGTGACTCAATTTCCTCACTACCCACATAAAAGGTTGCCACCCAATCACTGGTTTTTCTATCTAAAATCCCTCCCCTTTGTTTTTGGCTAATAGACCCTAAGAAAGACAGCCCTTTCTGGAAGCTGCATACTGTGACATATAAAAGCTGTTAGCTGCTCTCGTAACCAGCAGCATTCAAACCTTGCAGGCTTTTGCTCTCTGGAGCTTGTTATAAGACACACTTCTCTTACAAGAGTTCATGCTACAACATAGCAAAGAACTTTAAATTTTTGGAAGAACACTGTATTCATTTTGGCATTGTACAGAGGTAAGCTATTTGGCTCAAAAAGTTTATATTGCATGTATTGATTTGAAGTAGCTGACATTTTTAAAGAAATGAGCTTGGATTACTATACTATTTTTGTATGTGTTCTGTCAGGTTGTGTGCATATGTGCCTGGGAGACATTATCAGCACATTCTCTGTTGTGACCTGCAGGGCATTTTTTCCTATTCACTCTCAAGGTGAACTTCAATTCTTAAAGATTTCCCACTGAAAACAAAGTTGCAGCAATGCACTTTATAGTTCAGGTATTTGGGGCAAATGTTCGCATTTATGTTAGGGTTAGTGGTCCTGCAGTTTAATTTTCTCTAACTTTAGAAAATTTCTCATAGGGGGTCTGCCACATGATTCAGGAAAATGATAAGATTCTATTATAAGTGGGAAAACATTTGTTTGGATTTTTACAGAAAATTAAATCAAGTAATTCTTCTTAATGACTCTGTAAATTCAGACTGTGTGGACCTGTTTTTTTTTTTTTTTTTTTTTTTTCAAAGACCCTAACTGGACCTTTCTGCTTTAAACCAGAGGAAACTCGGTGGCCTCTTCTCCACTCCTCAAAATGATAGCAATCTCTGCCATCAGCAGTGCGCTCCTCTTCTCTCTTCTCTGTGAAGCAAGTACTGTTGTCTTACTCAATTCCACTGACTCATCCCCGCCAACCAATAATTTTGCTGATATTGAAGCAACTGTAAACGCACCACTAGATTCAGCGGATATTCCCAAAGCCAGGCGGAAGCGCTACATATCCCAGAATGACATGATCGCCATTCTTGATTATCATAATCAAATTCGGGGCAAAGTATTCCCACCAGCAGCAAACATGGAATATATGGTAAGAGGATTTTTTTTTTTAAGTCTGAGTAAGAAAGCTTTTATTTGTATGTTGGAAGGACCTAAAGAGACCAGAAGTGTTTGTATGTCAAATGGTATGGGTTTTTTTTTTTTTTACAGATTTTAATTTAGCAAAGATTATGTACCTAATATCGTTAAATACTGTCCCATCATAGACGTGTGCGTGTGTGTGTGTGTGTGTGTATGTGTGTGATTGTGTATCTAAGTAGATTTCTCTTCTGTGAGTCCCATAACTACCAATGAAGCACATCTTAAGGAACATAGATGAGGTGTGTAGACCGATCACATTTGAAAGGACTCTTTCAAAGGAATATTCACATGGAAGCTTTTCTGTGCTTTCTGTGTCCAGTAGTCATATTTATCAACTATGACATTTCTTCAAAATGTTTCTTGAAATTATAGGTTTCATGTGCCTGATTTATGCTTGGGTAGGTGTCTCTTCCCTTTCTTGGGCAAGGCTTTCACTAGTACTAATCTATTTGCATTCTAAGAAAACATGCTGACTTTTTCTTCCTTGTGATGTAATGTTTTGTTGCTGAGATAACAGTGAAGCCAGTGCACATGTACACTGCTCCGACTTGCCATGAACATATTCTTTGCTCTCTCTTAAAAATAGTCTCTGTGTTTAAACCACTTTATTCAGTAAAAAAAAAAAAATTAAGTTGGTATTAAAAAGAGTCTTGTTAAAGTTTGTTTTTGGTTTTGAATTTATGCAAGGTTATTTTTTAAAGTCCTGCCTTTAGAAGAGCCGAGTGTGTAGGCTGTGTGGAGGCAGTGGAGACCACTGATACTGTGCTTCCACACTGGGTTGGGGATATGGGGCAGCAGTAACAGTATTATCAATGCTGATCTAAAATTTGAGATTCCTAACATAATCTAGATTCATTCATTTTATATAAATAAGTTTTTAAAGTTTGGCCATTTAAGGTTCCCTTATCATAGGAAAAATAAAGACTGTTCAAATTATGTCATAGGTCATAGAAGTCCAATTTAGACTCTGTGAAAATTCATTTTCCTAGAATGTTTTAAGGGAAGAGGAGATGTAATCAGTCCTGGTGAGTGATAGGTAATATGGTCTCGTGATTAAGTTTATGGGCTCTGGAATCTAAATACTTGTATTTAAATTTTAGTCCTGGAGCATAAGCTGTATGAACTCTGTATCTCCTCTCTCAGAGAAGGTTGGAGGTAGTGTCTGCCACATAGGATTTGCAAGGAAGGACTATGCAAATAGAGGAGTACAGCAATTAGACCAGAGTCTATGGATAGAGAGATGTTTAATAAAAATGAGTTTTTGTGGGTTTCTTTGAAGTTTGTGTGAAAGGTACACAGTAAAAACCAATTCAAGATCCCACAGCAGGAAAAGTTACCCATGTAAAAGTTTGTCTAGCAGGCAATGCAGATATGTAAAGAGAAGAGGAACAAATGAGTTTTTAAAATTTATTATGGATTATGAAAGAAATATGCATTTCGTGTGGGCTCAGAAAGGCATACTACTGAACTAGAGGTTTAGGAATGGCTTCCTGACAGCGATCACATTGCTCTACTGACTGACGACCAAGAGCACTAAACAAACTTTGGAGGTAAACTCATCTAGGTTCACATCCTGGCTCCACTGCTTACCTTATGGGCTTGCGCATGTTACTTAATACATGCAAGGCTCAGCTTTCCTATCCCTTTCCCTAAAATGCAAATAGTAGTAATTGTAAAGACCAACCAATAAGAAATGCAATTCACTATTTTAAAGATATTGAGGGCAGAGTTAACACCAAGGAGTAAAGGCATAGATGGGTACGATACACTAGAAATAGGTTGAAATGCCACATTTTTGTAGTTATATTCTCTCCACTCATCAAGAACTAATTCATTCCATGTACATTTATTTAATTGCTTTTATGTGCCAAGGCCTTGACTAATTGTTTCCGTATGGGATCTTTGCTCATGTTCTCCATGTGAGACTAAGATGGGTGATCTCTATTTTACAAGTGAAATCACCTAACTCCAAGAAGTTAATGACTAAGCTAAGGTGGTATGGATAATGAATGAAATTCCTGGAATGAGAATTTAGGTGTTCGTAATTCCAGAGCCCATGTTCGTATTGAGGAGGATGCTGCACCCTGAGAAATCTCTCAAAATGTCAGGGTATCTTTGTCCCCATCCTTAAAATGCCAGGTGAATTAATGGAGTGCTCATATTCTCCTTGTTATTCTCTCAATTGTTTTCTTCTCAGATATCAAAACAATTCCATAGGATTTATTTTCCAAGAACCAGAAAAATACTAATTACATGGTAGGTATTTATAAATCCTCCTTAATTCATTGAAAGTAATGAGAAACAGTAGCTAGAACAGTAAGTTCTATAAATCAATATAGGAACCATCAGAAATAGTCACATAAATACTTAACATATAGCTCATCCACACATGTGTTTATGAATTTAATAAGCACTTATCACACATTGTCACTGTGCTAAGCATGAGAGTTACATTCATGAATACAATAGCCACTCATTTTTGCTCCATTGGTGGGAATCCAACAACAAATCAGATAAATAAATAAGTATCACAGTATGTTAGAAGGTAATGAGATTATAAAGAAAAGTGGATTTTGATGAGGCTTGGCTATTTAACAGAGATGTCAAGGAAGTGCTCACTGAGAATGGCCTGGGGACAGGTGCAGGAGGGAGTCATCACTACTAGAAGAGCTGCGGGTTGAGTTAAAAGACAGAGGCCAGAAGTGGGAGAACTTTGATTAGTTCTAGGAAAATGTGCTCCCTTTGGTGAAATTATTAGTTAGAAGGACTGGACTCTGAGTAAACTGACCAATGGAAATACTTTGTCTAGATCTCTCATAGGGAAACTTGGTGGGAAGCATAATATAAAAACGTAGCTTGGAGGTCAGAGTAGGCACAGTGCATGTTTTTAATTCTCTAACCTAAGTGAAAAAACTACATATCTCTGTTGGATACTGTTAGCTTTACTTAACATGTTCAAAACTAATTTGGATTGAGAGGAGCTGAAAAGCAAGCTCAATTCCAACCTGTACCATGTATCTCATAGGACACCTGTCCTATGACCATCTTACAAATATCTGTGCTGTGAGTCACCAGCCCCATATTCCAATTATCCTCAATGAGAGCCTCACAAAAGATGGCCTGTGGCTCAGGGCTTTTCCTAATCACACCAGCTTGATTTGTAATTTCTTTCATCTACAACTCTCGGAGCCTTTTACTGTGCTCTCCTGTTTTCCTGGAGTATCTCCTCCTCATTTATTCTATTCTTTATATTCTTATCTTTCAAGTCTTTGATAATAGAATGCTAGAACTTTCAATGATAATATATCCACGCATGACTTCTCTTTCTTTGGAATTGCTATTATATTGCTCTTATTGCAATCCAACATAGTTATAGTCATTTGTGCATTTCTTGACAACTTCTGAATTTTAAGCTTTCAGGGTGCTAATTTTATGAGTATGCATCTTTGTATCTCTCTTTTCTTGGGTAATTCCTTAATTATAGACAATGAGCAACTGTTATTTGTTGAATTTATTTAAAATCCTTATTAATTGTTATGTGTTTATAAACTGCATTGATTTTGATATTATTCTAAATATTCTAGTAGTTTTTCATCATTATAGTTTATCCCACACACCTGAAATAAAAGAAAATTTTCACCGATTCTAAAATAGCTCTTCAAATTAATTTGATCTTCCTTAAATAATTTGCTATGTACAATTGACTAAATAAAACAAAAGCAATTTGAATAATAGGCTGTTGACATTCATTTATGGTTCTATATTTTCTTTGTATATATTGTCCATGATTTTAATAAAACAGTGTATTATTTGAAATATTTAACTTTCCAAAGCAGTATCTTTTCACATAAATAATAATATAGATAAGGCTTTAACTAGGCAAGTATGACTTATTTATTCTTGGCCTCTGTTCTATAATTAGTTTATTGATTAATTTCCAGAACTCCTTGGCCAGCAGCTGTTTTTCATTCTTCTAAGGACAGCTTAAACTACGTCTCTAAACCACAAACCACACTAGTTTCTTAGAATAAGAATTATCACCAAAAGAATGATTTTGTAAGACTCACACATAGAGTAACATTTGTTGGATATTCCCTGAATTCAAGTCAATTGAATAAATTCATTTTTAAGTTTGAGATCTCTCCATGAGGGAGGTGATCCAAAGATTGAAAGCTTTGTCCTTAAAGTATAAACAATGCTGTAAAAACAAAACAAATAGAGGGAAAAACCACTAAGCATATAATTTGGTATAATACACTGGTAGATAAGATTGATGCAATGAAAGAGGGACAGACATAAATACTGTGGATGAGTCAAAGAAGGAAGTGATAATCTCCACTTGGCAAATCATGAAAGGCTTCTTGGAGGAGGAGCATTTGCGATAGAAGCTCAGGAAGGGACAGGATGGCTGTTATGGCAGGCAGAACATGTGCATGAGCAAGATCACCAGGAGAGAAAAACCATGACACTTCAGACTTTGTTTTTTGAAGAGTTTGAGAAAAGCTTTTGCATTGCTTGAGACAAAAAGCAATTAAGGAGACTGAGAAGTTTAATCCCTTCCTCAAAATTTTTTTCAGTACTGGGCATTGAATCCAGAGCCTTTATTACACGAGGCAAGTGCTCCAGAGATGCATCTTAGATAGGTGACCCTGGGAGCTGAAGGAGTTCAGGGTGGGTCAGTAAATGCGACCAGAAAGGTGTAACTGCTGAGTAAGCAGTACCAATATTTTAGGAACAGTGCAGCTATACTCACAGTGATGAGAAGGAACAACTAATAGCTCATAAGAAAGCAGTCTTCGCAGAGTGGTAAAAATGATGGCCAGGGAGGTGAGGCTCATTCTGAAAATAATGATGGAAATGAACTGAAAAATAAAACTGAAAAAATAAAAATGTGTAATGTGGTTTTAAGAAGCCATTATATTGTGAATGCGGCTACTGTTATTTGTTTAG